CACCAATGCCCTCCCATCCACTGGCTCTCCTCCCTGTCCAACCCCACCAATGCCCTCCCATCCACTGGCTCTCCCACCCATCCAGTTCTCAGCAGCCTGGTCGCCCTTACCTGAATGAGCTTGTCTTCCCAGGCCTTCTGATTCCAGGTGAACTCTGTGTGTTCTGTGGGGGCACACAGCTGGTGGCACGGGCTGCCCCTCTGTCGTCCCTGGTTAGCACCCTGGTGCCACCCCAGGYCTCCACAAGAGCCCTTGGCCAGCAGCACTTCCCTTCCCACCTCCCGCTCCTTGGCCAGCTCTCAGGACCAAAGAAGGCCACGTGGGTCCACCTGGAGCCTAGGTTCCTGGTGCCCAAGCCGTGCAATCTGTGCCCAGTGAACACACGAGGTGGGCACCTCACCTTCCAGGTACCGGATCAGCAGGGGGATCTCCTGCTCCCACACATTGGCCATGGTGGGTGCAATGCTGTGGCTCAGGGTCCTCAGGAGTTGCAGCATAGCGACCCCACGGCCCTCCCCCTTGTAGGGTGACGACATCAGCACCTGCAAAATACCAGGTCATGAGCGCAGCAGGGCCTGACACCTCCCTCCGTCTTGGGGTCCATGCCCTCACTGTAAGTGGAGGTGAAGGTGGGCGGTTTTCAAACAGAGTCCAAGGATCTCCAGGACAGAGAGGCCCTTACAGAGAATGCTGATGGGGGTGGGGCAGGAGTGGCCAGGCCTGGCCTCCTCATCCACCCCAAGCCTCAGTGGAGCATGGATCATATCCACAGGACAGASCCCTCACCCCCACCCCCAGGGGCAGGTAGCCCATTGATAGTGTCCTGGAGATGCTCTGGGCAGAGGAAGCTCGGTCGGCCATCTGAGCACACTGCCCCTGCCACTTCTCCCCAACAGGGACAATAGGGGTCTGGGACACTCTGTCCTGCTAAGCACCCAGCTCCCTCACTGCACCCTGGCTGTCTGCTCCTGGGGCTCAGGGAATGAAYGGTTCAAGAGAGAGGCACCACAGGGCATAGCCTTGCCAGGCCCGGGCATGTGCAGGTCAGCCACTCACCAAGAGACGGGCCAGCAGCTTCTGAGGTGCAGGCAGGTCCACTGAGGAAGGAGATGCAACTTGAACTGAGGCTGCCCATCCCATACCAGGACATGCCCACATACCCCGAGCGAGGGGGACTTGACCCTGGGAGGTGCCTTCCCAGCATGACTCCATCCAGAAACTGGGTCAGCACAGGGGACTTTCCAATAAAGAACATCACTAGAGTTGACTCAGCACAAGGGAAACTCATGCTGACGTGCTGAGTGCAGGAGGTACTGTATCAGACCTTACCCCTGGGTGGTCGTTGCAATGGTTACCAGACTTGCCATGATAGTGTTTTGTCCCCTATTGTGAACCTTGGCTTCCCTTGAGCCAGCAGTAATTAGAAAGCCTGCACCTACCCGTCCTGTCCCCTGCAGGCTTTGGGAGTCAATGAGCCCATGCAAAGCAAACTCCCGGGACTTGGATGGATAAACAAGGGAGGGGCCAGGCCTGCTAAGAAGTTGCAGGTGTTGGAGCCCAGGAGAGGACCCAGTCCCAAAGTGAAAAGGGCCATGAGGAAGACCTCAGGGGGCCAGCTAGGCAGACCATGGATCCTGAAGGCCTAACTAAATTACCAGCATCACTAGCCACAGCCATCCCTGGGAAGCCCAAGCCCGTGAGAGCAGCCCCCTCAGCACTAGAAGTGGGAGGGAGGGGGACAGAGCAATCCATAGTAGATGGGCCTAGCTGCTTTTCTGAGAGTCTGGTGTTAACAGTGTCCACCCTGGGGTGGACCATCATGGGGTCAGTTTACAGAAGACCTGGATGAACAACTATAGTCCCTCTATCTGACTCAGAGAGGTCAGACAGAACAGAGACCCAGAAAGACCACACCTGGAGAGAGCCTGGGCAGGAGGCCCCCAAGGTGGGGTCTGGGCCAGGGGTGTGGACTGGGGACATGGGGACATGAARAGTGTGCTACCAGGAGGAAGTTCCCCAGGACTCCAGCACCTCCTCAGATGTGGCAAGGTGCATTCTGGGCGCTTCCTAGAGAATTTTGTTGAGGGGACTTGGGGAAGGGTGACAAGGAACAGACCCAGCAGCCAGGTCCCACAGCGGGCTCAGGGCTCCTGCTCACCRTGTTTGCACTTGCCACTCATGCTTGCTTCTGCATCCTTGCTGTGGAGCTGGCGCTCGGCCAGGTTCGTGAGGCTGATGCAGATGGGTGTCAAGGCCTCCGTGTAGTCTGTCTCCATGATGTAGCACAGGAGCCGTACCCAGAACTCCTGGGGTGGGGCAGGGGAAAAGGAACCCAGCACCAGCTGGAGGCATCCCGTGGCCATCCAAGACTGGCAGGCTACATGCACAGCATAGGCCCCAGCCAACTTCCCCAGAGCTGGCCCCAGACACCACTGACAGACTCAGCCTACACTGACTCCTGCCAGGCCGGCCTTTGTCAGGAGGGTCTCGGTGGCATTCACCCAGCTAGAGCTGTCTCACACCCTGCCTGCCAGCCTAAAACCAGACCTACACCCAATACACTGTCTTTGTCTAGGCCCCTTTCCTGACCCCAAATCCTCTGGAGTTGCATGCTGGGCAGATGACCCAGCTGTGCTTGCCAGTTGTGACAGTCAGATTTACATCCTCTTCTTGATGCTTTTATAGTAAAATTTTCCTATCTTATTGCTCTGTCATATTTCACTGCAATTGAAAGTTGTTTCTCCTATAACTCTGGGTTCCCTGYGATCATGTGGAGTCCCCCTAGCCTGTACCTTCACGTCTTTCACGCAGCAGGAACTTGCTAAATGCTCATGGACTGTTTCCTTACACACACACACACACAAACACACCCACAAAATACATGGCTCTGGAATTGGATTTTGAAGGGAAAGAGCTCAGGCAAGTGGAAGACAAAGACCCCCCACCCCCCAGCTGCTGCAGACAGTGAGCATGGAAGAGGTGAGAGTGCAGAGCCRCCGCGTGCCCATTCCTCTCCAGTCTTCCAGGTGCGGACAGGAGCCATTGGCTCTTCCATGGCGGCTGRCTGGGCAAGGAGTGGACTCACATTGGTCATGCCACTGACAGAAGAGGTTATGATCTTCACGGTGTCCATGGTGACTTTGTGGACCATCTTCTCCTCCAAGTCCCTCTGATAAAAGTTATCCCGGTGRTTTGTCTGGAAGACAGAACGAAGGGCCCCTGCTGGAGGGCTAGCAGAGATTTGCTGTGGTCTTCTTACTYCCCTGGGGAATCCATGCCCAGACACTGGTCTCCCGGATGCTCACTGCTATGCACAGGTCTCCTGCCTGTGTGTCTCCTGCCCACACCTGGACCTCTGGGCTTGCTGTGCCCCTAGGCCCTTGTGTCGTAAACACAGGTCCATAAAGTAGCATTCATGCTCAATGCTTTGGAGGCATTTCCAAAGTCCATCTGCTCCATGGTGTGCATGTCAGGGTCACTCACCAGCTTGTAGGTGGACAGGGTCAGCTGCACAGACACRTACTTCAGGCCCCAACCTTTGATCCGGTCCTGGTAGCCTGACAGAGCCAACTGGCCAATAATGCGGAGAATAGCCATCCTCACCTGAGGGGACAGGGCCACGGTTTGCTCCCCAGGGCAGGAACTCAGCACCCAGTACCCAGTCCTGTCGGGTGAGACATCTGAGAACTGGCACTGCTAAGGGCTGGAAGGGGCTTCAGGAGCCACCTGGCTCCTGCCCACTCTGGCAACACGCCTCATCCCATCTGGGGGACCCACCCTGCCGTGTGCCCATGTTGAGACACACCTACTCCCACCCTCTGACATGTGGTGGCCCATCTTAGGGGTCTTGGGGGGTGGGGGAAGGCCCGTCTTTCATCCTGGGCTCTCTGGCTTACTCCAGTGAGACTCGCTACGCAGAGGAGAAGGAAAGCCAGCACTTTCCCCCTGGAGGCCTCCAGGCATTGAAGATCTCCTCTCCTGACACCCGTGTTCCTGGCCCGTCTCCCTCACAACCTCTGTGCTGCCCCCCGTCCCAGTTACCCCTTCCCAGCCCACAGCTGGACCGGAGCTGCCCCCCCACCCAGCGGCTGAGGCTGCCCTGGAGCTGGGGCTGTGGTCCCAGCTCTTGTTCCTGGGGGCAGGGGTCCTCTGTGGCTCTCTTCCCAAAGCCACACCGCCATGTGGCAGGAGCCAGTGCCGCTCAGCTGGGCTCTTCTCCAACCTGGTGGCCGCGCCAGGACAMGGCCCTGAAGGCTCCTCAGTGACCACCAGGGCCTCCTGAGCAGAGCCGGCTCCCTCTGCCACTCTCTCCTCTGGGCCTACGCAGGACTGGGTGGGAAGCCGGGGCTCCCATCACAGTCTCCACCCAGAGAGCTGGTCCCCTGACAGAGTCCCCTCGTGCCATCTCTCCCAGGCTCCGGCCTGTTACCTTGGACCGTGCATCAGACAGGCTGTTCTTGACCACCCGAATGGCCAAGTAGATGGTCCTAAGACTCATTTTGGGGTCTGAAAAAGGAAGACCGGTCTGAGGTCTGTGGCTCAGGGAGACGACAGGTGGCCTCCCCTGTCACCTCCCCTTTAAATCCCCTCCAACATCCCCAAGACACTTTCTTAGAATGTCTCTAGCCAGGCTCGCCCTGGGCACAGCGTCTCCTCATTCCGTCCCCAGCAGCACCCTCCCTTCAGGCCCAGATGRCGTAGGTTCACACCTTGTCCCCTTGGCTACAGGCCTCCTTTGACCCCGTACCCTCTCCTTAAGGCAAGGTCTCCACGCAAGAGCGTGAACCTGCCCTGGATCCCTGCAGCCTGAGGGGAYACCACTCTGGGCACACAGGGCGGCAAATTCAGCAGTGAAGACTGTGGACTGGTGCCAGGCTGCCTGGCTTCAACCCTGCCTCCACCACAATCCAGCTGTGTGGCCTCAGGTGCACTGCTGAGCCCTTCTGTGCCTGTGTGTGAACGAGAACAGTGCGACCCGCACAGAGCCACTGTGAGCAGGCACGTGTTAACACCGTGCCCAGCGCACCATGGGGCTGTGTGCGTGTGTGCGAGTCAGACAACTGACACCAGATAAAGAAGGAAGATTAAGTGAGGCGAGGAAGAGAAGGCCCTGGAGCCGTCTGGAAAGGAAGTACAACAAGGCGTTCAGGGCTTGGAGTCACCTAGTCACCACTGGGTAGGAAAAGGGGAAACCAGGGCAGGTAGAAGGTGGCAGGTAAGAGAAGGGCACAGTCTCAGGTTTTCGCCTCTAAGATTGGAAACTCTATTTCTTCTGAACGTGAAATTTGTTCATGATCATTGCGAAATTAAAATAAAAGACAACCACTCTTCACAGCGTGCCCAGAGCAGATCTCCTTCGTGCACCCGAGGCCATGGCATATGCCCTGCCCCGCACTGGGATGCTGTGCTGAATACGGACAGAGCAGCTTTGCCATGGAGAACTAGGGACCCACTCCACCTCTTAGTGGTGGATAGCATCCCATTATGAAGATACACTCTAATTTATCCCACAAATTCCCCGCAGAAAAACACTGCAGCTGTTTCTGAAGTTTTGGTTTAAGCACAGTGTTTTAATGGACATTCATGTCAAATCACCTTTGGCAATTATTTCTTTCACATAATTGACAAAATGTTAGATTATTGAGCCCAAGGTTTGGCCCTGATTTGATTGACCATCCACAGTCCTTTACCAGTTAAAATCTCTACCAAGGAAGTATGGAGAGTATGGAGAGCTGGTTTCTGGTTGGCCTAGACCAGGAATGGGAAAAGCAGAGCCTGCAGTCTAATCTCTTTGTAAGTGAAGTTTTGTTGGAACGTGGCCAGCTCSGCAGTCTACAACTGCTTTAACTCTACAGTGGCCGAGGTGAGAGATGCTTGTCCATACGGCCTACAAAACTAAAAATACCTTTGCTATGTGGCCTTTTACAGAAATGCCTAGGCCAACCCTAGCCGTCATCCTTAGCATCTGTCTCCACGGACTAGGTAAACAGGATCTCATTGTTACTTAAATCTGCATTTATTTAAGAGAGAAGGTTTAATGTGGGTGAAGGTGCCCCACATCTAGTTACCTACTTTAGAACCCTAGAGAGGCTGGATCCGGAGTCCCTCMGCACTTCCCAGCCCACAGTCTGCACTGCTCAGAGGCATGCAGCTTCAAGGCCAAGCGGGAGCTGCCCACGTTCTTCCAACCATTAAGTACCCTCAAGGCACAGCTGTCCAAGAGGGCACTTTGTTCAAACTCATAGGTGCCATGTCAGTAGGGAATTGGTGGGGACATCTGTTACCTTTGATACCAAGGCCAGGTTTGGCATTGGGGCTCAGGGATTAGACAGAGGCTAAGGGTAGGCATGGAATCCATGGGCCACTGTGGTCAGGCCCACAGGTTGGTTAAACTGTAGATCTGGCCTTTGGATCCCCTTTCAAGGTCCATAGGGAGATCCAGACTCAGAGGCTGGGGTGGGCCAGAGTGCTGGTTAGAGTCACAGTTAGAAAAATAAGGAGCCACCAAGAGACATGGCTCCCTGGGGCCCCAGAAGTGTCTCTAAGGGGAAGAGCCAGTGGCCCAGACGCACACCCCCCCCCGCCACCCCACCTGCCCACTGATGCTCACCTTCTGCGCTCACCACAGCCCGAATCAGGGACAGTGTCCCCACGAGGATGGCCTCCTTACCCACCTCCATCTGGCTGAGGAAGAACTTCATCAGCTCCTTGGGGTAGGAGCGAGCTGTGGAGTGGAATAAGCCCCTTCGTCACTCCCCCTGGCCTTGCTGGGACTCCGWGAGGCTCCCGGCAGACCTGCGGGCAGGGGCGAGGGCCCTGTGGCCGAGGCTCACCGAGGGCTATGAAGCAGTGCACAATCTCCATCAGGTTCTGGCTGCTGTACTGATGCTGGGCTGGGGCCTTGGTGCAYACCTGGGGACGGGGGTGCAGGGAGSACAGGGGAGATCTCAGGGGCAGGAGACACAGGCAGCCCAGCCTGACCRTGCCTGCACCCCACAGGATGCAGGAGGCTCAAGAGTGAGCCAAGGCGAGGCCACCTCCTGCAGCTGCTTCCTGCAGACCCACCCTGAGGTCGCAGCTGAGCTTGCCGGACTCACCTGCACATGCAGCTCCGTGAAAATGGGGTTYAGCTGCATTTGGGGGATGGGGGTGTTGGTGACAACTGACACTTCCAGAATCTGTCTCAAAACCTGCAATGGATGGAYAAATGGTTGCAGGTGGCCTTCTACCAACTCAGGGTCAGACTAGGTGCTTGCTACTCTGTGGGCCATTGACTGGTGGCTCCAGCCTCCCCAGGGGCTAATTAGAAACAYAGACCTGCTGGTAATCCCCAGCAGGCCCAGGTGATTCCCAGGCTCAGTGAAGCTTGGGAAGTGCCCGTGCTGAGCACATTCTGAACACATCACCCAAGCCTGTTCATTTTCCTTTTGCTGGCAAGATCTATGGATGGTTCCCCATTTCCATCACTTTCATTTCTGCTTCTTGCTTTTGCAGCTAAGTGCCAGCCTTGTTTGTGGACGAATGGCCCCTTTACAGTGGCCGTCAGCCCAGACCATGCCTCCACTTGGAACCTGGCAGCATCTCCATCTCAGATGGGCCAAAGGCTGCTACAGGTTGAATGGTGTCCTCCCCAAATGCACATCCACCTGGAACTTCAGAAGGTGACCTTATTTGGAAATAGGGTCTTTGCAGACATAATTAGTTAAGGATCCCAAGACCTTTGCGATTCCTAATCACAGCAGTCCAAGAAACTGACACAAAGGCCATGGTCCCCTAGGGCCTTCCAAGACCCTTCAGGGCTGGTCCCTTCCACCTGGAATGACAGAGTTCATTTTCCACAAACCCGACAAGGACCAAGCTCCTCAGCCCCTTGTAGGTACAGATGTGGGGTCTGTTGATAGGACATTAAATATGTGTGTCCTCACCTTCCACCCAGATGATTCCCCTGGACACTTGGGGACCCAAACCTGTGTGATGAAGATGGCCTCCAGGCTGCCCTGGTACTCGGCCAGCAGCAGGGGGATGTAGTCGTAGACCTGCTCCCGCAGCTCGTCGTTGGGCAGGAGGAGGCTCAGCATGGGCTTCAGGGACTTGACAACCCCCATCTTCACCTGCCCAGGAAATGGGGTCCCCCAAATCCCAGCTGGTCCCATGACCTCGGCCCCACCCACTGACTCCAAGGACACAGAGGAGGACAGACCTGAGGCAGAGTGGGACCCAAGGCTGCAGGGACAGTACAGCATGGCCACACTACCCTGGGGTCCCACCTACAATCAGGTAACCTCGGGTGGGTACAGAACCTCTGGGGGCCTCAGTTTCCTTGTTAAAATAGTCCTAGTCCCTGAGTCAGAGTAGAACTAGCTCCTGTGGACAAGACAGAGGACACCCGCACGTCGCCCTGAAGCAAGGAGCCCACACCTAACGTCTCTCAGGGGCCTTTACAGGGTCCAGCTCACGAGGCAAGCTAGGGGGGGTCCACGTCGCCAAGCACCCTCCACGTGGCTAGCTCTGCCCTCCGGCAGGTCCCAGCTTCTCTAGCCCCTAGAGAACCCCAGAGAGGCTGGACCCGGGGTCCCTCAGCCCTTCCCAGCCCAGTCTGCCGAGTGTGGCAGAGGGGAACAGGTGCCCTGGAAGGGCGCGGCCCACCTCGGGGTTGTGGTGCCTCAGCCACACCGCCACGAAGTAGCGGTACATGGGGAACAGCTTCAGAGCAAACTGCTCCTCGGTCACCACGGGGTACACGCTGTCCTCCAGGTGCCTCAGGTAAAACTGCACCGTCTCACAGAAGGTCTCCATGGCTGCCGGCAGCAGAGGCGGCGGATGGGGCCAGATCTTCCTAGCCCATCTCTGGGTTGCCGAGACCCTCCCCCCTTCTCACCCCCTTCTCACCCCCTTGGCTCCCCAGTTGTGCCACCTGGGTGACAGTCGAGCACACAGGGGTGTCCAAGCCCCTTGCCCTTGAGGCAGGGTCTGAGGTGGGGCCTGGAATACGACTCTCTACCCACGTCCTGGGGATTCCCACGCAGAGCCCAGCAAACACGCTCGACCCTCCTTTTCTTGATCATCAAGAAAATAAATGTCAAGTCATCCGTGCCCTGGGCAAGCTGATCAGATTTAAACTGCATTAAAGACATGACCGAGTCTAACCTCAAGGGAGAGGTTTTCCCTGATGTCCCCTTCTTTGAACGTCCACCCCTCTCTGGTCTCAAACGCTGAACTACAGAGCAAGCTGCAGAGGCACACGACAGCCTCTACCCCACGCCATGGTCTTGTAAAAGGCCTCCACGTCTCAGCCACCTGACCCCGGGAGAGCCGATCAGAGGCCAAACAAACAGGAGACTGAGCAAATGTCGGGGGAAATGAAGAACATACCTCTTGCTCAAGATTCCTCTACCTTCTCCTCACCCTGCATCCCCCTCCCTGACTCTGACCGGGACAGACCCACAGACACACGTGGACACGCACCGCTACATATCACCTGGCGCATCTTGGCTTCGTTGGCCAGCCTCAGCATCGTGAATAAGGTAGCCAGAGTGATGCCCATGTACGGCATGAACTCAAACACTGCGGGATGGGGACAGAGGTCACAGCAGTCACTGCAGGGCAGAGCCAGGGCAAGGCCCAGAGGAAAGTCCCAGTGCCTACCGCCTCCAGTCCCTGACAGTCCAGATCCAGGGAACCCATACCTCCTGGGGCCTCAGGAAGTAGTGTGGGATTCCACCCTGTGTGAAAGGAGGGGCTGGAYGTGGGGAAGGAGGGGAGGCAGGCAGGAGAAGGGGAGGGAGGGAAGGAGGGCAGAGCAGGCCACGAGGGGCTGGGGGGGGACAGGGGCCCAAAGCACCACAGAGAAGCAGGGGAAAAGCAGAGGCGCAGTCCAGGCTCCTGGAGCACATGGGCCCCACGGAGGGTCCCCGGGTGTGTAGAGAGGAAGTTAGAGAGAYGGAAGAAAGGGGACCCGTGACAGGGTCATCCTCCAGCAGGACCTTGTCCCTCCCTACAAGCCCCGCCCGCCTCCCACACTGACAGCACCTCCCGCCAACTTCTTCAGACTTGGAACAATAAAAACCATGKATATTGATAATAATGATGTAAAAAAGCCTACGTCCCCCGTGGGCTCCCTTTCTCTGGGATCTTTGGCAGCAGCATCCACAGACCTAGGCCCCTCCTTGGCCCTGCCGGCCGCCCGGCTGCAGCCCCTCCTCTCTTGGCCTCCCACAGGCCCCCGTGCCCAGCACCCAGGCAACTCCTGCACCTCCTCCAGCCTCGCCCACTGGCCCTCTCAGCAGAAGTGGACACATGGGGTGCTTTGGCCCTTCCTGAATTGCAAGGACTTTCGGCTTTGGACTTGACAGTGGTACARAGTGACAGGCATTCAGGAGAATCGTACTTCCAGTTTTGAAAGTGGACCTTCTCCTAGGCTAGCRACATGGGGCACTACTCTCCTGTRATGCTGGGCAGCCACAGGCCACCAGCAGCTCCCAGTCGGTTTGACTGGCACCAGGGGAAACGACCAAGCTCTATGGTGCCACGGTATTCGGGAGGTTAGGTGAATTTTTTGCTTAGGACGTTGTCCACCTGGATGGGGCTGTCAGAACTGAGGAGCAGTGTGCTCTCCCCAGCAGGCCTCAGGACTCCACCTTCCTCCCTTTCCTCCTAGGGCTTCTCCACGTTGGGCTCCTCCAGGCTGGGTCCTGGTCCCCAGTTCTTCCCGCTCTACCTTTAGTCTCGGGTCCCAATGGCTTTGAATGCCACCTGCCATGGCAGGCTGCTGGGAACAGAGGCCAGACCTGCCCTCTGACCTGTACATCCTGCAGTCAGCTGCCCACCTGGCCTCTCTGTCGAGACACCTCACAGAACCACATTTCCTAATTGGAGCCCTCCTGCTCTCCTAGTGCTTCCCACCTCAGGAGGCAAACCTAGCCCACACACAGCRCTTGGCCCCTCTGGGCCTTCTCCCCCCACACAATGCACCTCCACGTCCCACCTGCCAGGGCCATCTCATGGCTATCCACTGCTCACCGCGGGCATGGCAGCCCGAGCCACCTGCTTGGAACCCTTCAGAAGCTCCCGTGTCCTCAAATAAAGTCCAGACTGCCCACGGCCCACTCAGCCCCGCCTACCTCTCCCCTCACTTGTGCCCATCCCCCCCGCTTCCCAACTCCAGCCCCAGCCACGCCTCGGATCTTCAGAGCATCCAAGCTCTTTCCTGCCACGGGGACTTGGCGCATGGTGTTCCTCTGCACCTGGAATCTGCTCTACCCTCTTCCTTACTCAGACATCCTCTCGTCTTTCAGGTCTCTGCCTAAATATGGCTTCCTAGCCGAGGCCCTGCAGGCTGAGAGCCCCTGCCCTCACCCTGGTCTCCAACGGCCACTAGGATCTTCCTGTCACGCCCTTCAGCTCCTGGTGTCAGGCGTTTGCCTGTTTACCGCCACTGCTGAGGACGAGGGCCGTGGGAGTCCCACTCCTCACTGAGGCTCAGAGCCCACCGCAGGGGTGAAGGGAGAGGGAGGGAGAGAAGGAAAGAGGGAAATGGAGGTGGGAAGACAAAAACTGATGCAGGGAGAGGAAAGGGGGGGGGGATAAGACAGAAAGGAGAGGCTGAGAGCGAGAGTCCTAAAACCTGAGAGACACAGAAACCACGGAGAGGAAGAGACAGGAAAGAAAAGAGCCACGGAGAGACAAGGCCTGGGGCGAGGCCAGAGCCCGGGGGCCCAGAGGGCAGAAACGGGGCCCAACCCACCATTGCCATTGGCCAGCTTGGCCAAGGTGACGACCACAAACTCGTCCGTGAGGTGGAGGGGCTTGAGGTGGTGCTGCAGCTCATACATGACCAGGCTGAAGTGGTTCCGCGACAGAGCCACCAGCGTGTCACTGGCCACCTCTGCCTTTGTGTAGCCCTCCACCTGCAGGGGATGGGAGGGGGGCCACCTGTGGCAAGGACTTCACAAACCCCTACGATCCCACGCCCACTCCATCCTCCTGGCTCCTGCTCAGCCTTCCCCCACCCAGCCCCGACCCAGAAGTGACTGCCCCAGGGCCTTGGGCATCCCCAGCCCCCCAGAGGCCCCAGCTTCTGGGCTGTGGGGGGAAGCATGATGGAGCCCAGCCGGCTACCTCGGAGATCTCCCTCATCTCCTTGGAGGCCACGGTGACCAGCCTCTGCACACACGGCTCCTCCAGCTCCCCCTCCTGCTGGATGATCTCCTGGAGGATGTTGTAAATGTTGATCTTGCGCTGGGTGGAGATCTGGGAAAGAAGCAGGCAGGTGGGAAGGCCCTGTCCCAGCACCCTGTGTTCACTTCCTCTCCCTCCCTCTCTTCTCCACCAGAATCCCATCCAGAGACGGCCACCACCACCCTCCAACCACCAGGTCTCCGCCTCCACGTCTCCCTCTTCCCTCCCACCCATCCAACCGTCCCTGTCCATGCGACTTACAAATGGCTTCTCTTCCCAGTTTTGGCCAATAGTCAGCAAGGCAGGTGTCAGATGGTCAACACACACAGTCCTCCCCACAACTAGTACTGCCCTTTTAAAAGACCCCAAATAGCTCTTCACCCTGATGGGGGAACTTTGAGACCCGGAAACTTGTCTCTTCCTCTCTTTTGATTCTTATGTGGGCAAAATTTGGCACCTTTTAAAATAACCTGCCTTAGGATGAGATTGGATAGATGGATTGTGCACCCAGACCATACCTGGACAGTCATGCAAGGGTCAGATATGAAAAGGCACTCGTAAGGAATGAGAGTTCTGGAGAAATGCCTCATGTGGTAGAAAGTCCAGAAACCTCAGAAAATCTGGGGACCTCAAGAAGAGGAATTCACTCAAATTTCTTAGCTCTTCTGCTGACATGCAGCACGAAAGTCTTGGCCTTGGTTTCCTAGTCTTGGGGTAGCAACTAATAGAGTTTCCTAAAATTCCAATCAGCAATAGCTTTGGGAAAGTACCTGGGTGGATATTAGTGGTGTGGCTTTAGTCATTGCTCAATACTGTGTGTCTCCAGACCAGTGTTTCTCAACTATTAATAATAGTTGGTAGTGGTAGCAGCAGTCGTAGTACCCGCTTAAGGAGACTTTTTAGACATTTTTCCCTAAGTGTTCCCCCCACAAAACTTGAATAGCACAGTGCTTGTCCACATGTCCATGCTTCATATATAAATGTAGAACTTCCTTCATCCCAGTGAGAATACCGGGGGTAACATCACACCATTGAGAAGCATGCTCTAGGTTTCCAAGGCAAGTTCAAGGAGGTCTAGACACTCTATAAACAGCCAGGTAAGAGACAGCAAGACCAGCCTTCATTTGTGATCAAGGWTAATCAGTAAGAGTAGTTCTGGCCGCCACCAGGCAGTGCAACCGCGAGCAGAGACAGGAGATTGGGAACGCCTGAGCCAACTTAAATCAATTTCCAGAAGGCACCTGAACCTAAGAGATTGAATAAGGCACAAAGAAAATTGTGTCTGAACCATTCAGGCTCCGGATCCCATGGGAGAAAGCTACTTTTGCCGTTGATGCTATAGTGACCACACAGGAGCCTCTGCACCCCGTGGCAGATACCCATAATTAGTATTCATAATAGTGAAGCTGAAACCTGTGGAGGTGCTGTCCTTCTCCCCTGAAAGTGGATTTTATCAGAGACCCTAGAGATCCAGACATCCTGCAGAGTGGGGCATCTCCCCCGATATCCAGCTTGTGGATCAACTCTCAACTCCTACCAGGAGTTCCAAATTCAGCCAAGACTAAACCCCAAGAGACAGGGGAAGGAAATGGGAAAGGCAGTTGAATGAATAGGAATATAACTTTCCAATGTTCATACATACATACAYGACCAGTGTGACTCCACCTCATGTACAACCTCAAGAAGGGGAAGTTATACTCCATGTGTGCGGGATATGTCCAAATATGTTCTAAAAAAAWTTTTTTTAAAAGACTTAACTCCAATTACAGAAATCTCTAGTTTAGAACTCTAGCACCTCCACCACAGAAATGCACATTTTGTCAATACCCAAATTGTATTGGGCCCATCATGTACCAGACAACTCAAAGCTGAAATGTACTACAACCGGTTGTGTTTCCCAGTCACGAAGCCTGGAAGCTAAGTGAGGAACACAAATGCATTGGGCCTAACGACCCCCAACCTCCAAGCCAAGGGTTACAGAGCCAAAAGCAAATACAAAGAATGGAAATCCATCCTGGCCAACAGTTTTGACCACCTCAGCAGAAATAAGCCCTTTATTTCTCAGCAAGAATTTTTAAATTTTTCTTTTTTTTCACTTCTTTTTTCTTCTTTCTGCCATATTCATACTTTTTATCCTTCTTTGTAAATTTTAACTATTTGATTTTTTTCAAATTTCACTTCACCATATTATATTACTTTTTACTTTTTTCCATTATACATGATTTTGTGGAGGGGGGGCGGGGGAAGTGTGTAGTCACCATGGATAGGTTCGAAAAATATATGAGTATTTGTATAATTTTACTTTCACATTAATTGCTTCCTTCTACACTTATTATTTAGCCTTGATTTGTCTTAGGTAGGATTCAATTATATGCAGGTGTGAGTTGATTTGATCTTACAGTTGCTAGTTGTTTTGTACCATGGTTCTTTCCCCTCTTATCTCTACTTCTTCACTCTCTTCCCCCATTAACAACCAAATTTCTGTTTCCACTTCCTCTCTTTATTGCTTTAGGAAATCTTTTATTCTTTCTTCCTTACAGCCAGCATCTACTACCAACCTCCTGTATCTCCTCTGATCCCTTTTTTAAAATATTTTCTACTTACTCCCACCCTCTCACCCTAATTTCTCTTTACATAAGAAACCATAATCCCAACAAATAGTAAAATTATATAGTTTATGTAATTCACCCCCTTCACGTTGACATGATTATTAATATGGTGGACAGCAGAGTAAACACCTGATGTCGAATGCCTGAAATAGTGGACAGTTTTGTATTGTTCAAGCTGATGTTTAATGCTAACCCCCACCATTCCTATATAGGTGGCAATATTACATACGTCATAGTAGACATTGGACATTAATCTTAAAACTATACAATCTGTTACTGACATCAATGTTATTCCTGGCTCCCTCCTCCCTCTAAGAGGGGATGGAAAATGATTGGGCCACTTCAAAATTACAGAGTACAGACTCTGCTGCTGAGAAATACTCACAACCCAAACAACAGTGAATCTCACCCCACATATGATCTAGCCCCACCTGAACCTAAACATTACTTCAACTCATAAAATTGGAGATGAAAAACCCAAAACCAAAAACCAGGCCCCAAGAAAGAACAACCAAAGGGGAACTKCAGGACCATCCATCAACATTTACTCATATATCAAAAACAGAAAGAAATACTAGAATTGAAAAGAACTACACATAAGGACACACATATAAAAGAGTAAGGGGAAACAAACTCAATTGATGCACAAGTATAGGACCTCTGAAAACTTGAGGAAACAGGCAAACAAATTGTCCCCCCCCACACAAAAATTCATAATCCCCCAACAAAAGATCCCACASATATTGAAGTGGATGAAATTCTTATTATTAAAAACTGATTCTTGAAATGTTCAATGAACTAAAGTAAGATCTAAGGAATTAATTAAGAGAGAAAATTCAAGATATTAAAKACCATTTCCATAAAAAATAGAAATATTAAAAATAAAGCAATCAGAACTCCTAGAAATGAAAGACACATGAATCAAATCTTAAAATTCACTTGAAAACATCATCAACAAATTAGATTGTATAGAAAATACTACTACCTCAACCCTTTAAAACAGATCCTCAGGCCTTGAATATGGGATACATGAATTTAAATACACAGAATAATATAAAAAGGAAAAATAATAGAACATGATTAGAATGTATATGAACTCTGTAAAAACATCAAACCTGAGAATCATCAGGATAGAAGAAAACATGGAGATAAAGGCATGAAGAACTAAAGGCMTTAAGAACATTTTCAACAAGATAGTCACAGAAAACTTTYCCCATACATATCATAAGTGAGATAGACATCCACAAAAAAGATCCCAAATAGACTTGATCAGAAGAGAAGTTCTCCAAGACACATCATAATCAAAATGCCTAACATAGAAAATAAGGAAAGAATATTAAAGCTGCAGGAGAGAAACATCAGGTCACATTTAGAGGAAACCAATCAATAAGGCTCACTTCTGACTTACTAACTTAGACACTAAAATTAAGGAGGGCCTGGATTGAGATATTTCAATCTCTAAAAGAAAACAACTGTCAACCAAGATTACTGTACCCAATAAAGCTCTCTTTCATATTTGATGGGGAAATAAAAACTTTCCATGACAAAGATAAAAGAATACATGAAAGAATACATGACAACCAAGCCAACACTACAAAGAATTCTAAAGATAAATTGCACACAATGGAATCCCCCCACCAAAAAAATCCCCAAATTCCCAAATAAATGAAGATTAATAAAAGACTAATCATCTAACAAGAATCAAGACAAATTAGATATAATAAAAAATCAAATAGCAGCAAACTATAAACACATATCCATAACAACACTGAATATAAATGGTCTAAACTCCACAATTAAAAGACATAGATTAGTAGAATGGATCAAAAAACAAGATCCAGCTAGATCCTGTTTGCAAGAGAATCATCTCCAGGCAAAGACACTGAAAGCCTAGAAATGAAAGGATGGATAAAAATCCATGCAAATGAATTCTGAAAACAAGCTGGAGTAGCTATTCACATATCTGACAAAGCTGATTTCAAGCAAAAGTTAATCAGAAGAGACAAAGAAGGCTGTTACACCCTAACAAAGGGAATAATTCAACAAGAACARTGGCAAATATGTATGCCCCAAATGTCAACACACCAGTTACATTACTCCTTGATATTAAATCCTAGATAGACCCTAATAACAATGTGTAATTTCAACACACCCTTCTCACCAATAGACCAAGTCATCAAATAATAAAACCAATAAAGGTATGTATAACCTAAATAATAGTATAAATTGAATGGATCTAATAGACATCTGCAGAATGTTTCATCTCAAAACAGTTGAATTTACCTTCTCAGCACTTCATGGAACCTTTTTCAAAATAGAACATATTCTAGGTTACAATATAAGTTTTAGCAAATACAAAAAAAAAAWGAYKTAATCTTGTGTATTCCATTRGACCTTAATGGAATGAAACACAGCAAGAAAAATAATAGAAATCACATAAACACATGAAGATTAAACAATACT